ATTAAACGCAGTCTCAAGTTCGTCGGATCAGCCGTTGTTGAGATCCGAAAATCTGAGGGCCCGTCAACTCGTGTACTCGCGTAAACTTACACGGTCGGTCTCGCACGCGTGTACTAGCTACGCTTACACTTGGCGCGAGACACTACCGTGTCTCGTGATATGTTACCTTTTCATTGAATCGGATGTGTCGGGACTCTATAAACTTTCTTCTGCTTGGATGCCAGAGTATATAGCCAGTGTCAGTATATCCCACCAACACACCTCTAATAGCTCTTTTATCAAATTTCGACGTAGGCTTCGGTACTCTTGCATACTCAATGCATCCGAATCTCTTTATTTGCTCAAAATGACAATTCGTCTCTGATGAAAACTTCTTCAACGGGACCTCGTACTCTACAGTTTTTTGTGGAGATCTGTTGTACGCATGCACAGCAGCGTCAACTGCCAGCTCCCACATACTCTTTGGTAATCCCGAGTCGAACATATATGTTCTGACTTTTTCTTGCAACGTTCTGTTGAACCTTTCTACAACTCCATTGTGTTCCGGAGTGTATGGTGGTGCATAGATGGCTTCTATCTTTTCTCTTTTTAACACCTCTCTAAATGCGCCTCCCGTGAATTCCTGGCCTTGGTCTGACTTCACGTAGCACAACTTTTCTTCTTTTCCTAATAAATTTCTGGCAGATATTAAATATTTCTCTAGGGCCTCTCCTGATTCATCTTTCGTCTTCAGAGAGTAGGCTTCTACTAGTCTAGAATGGTCATCTATAAAGGCGATTATAAACCTCTTTCTCCCTGGATAGGATACAGGTTTTATTGGACCCATAATGTCCGTATGTATTGTCTGTAGTGGTCTCTGCGCTCTATTTCTATTTTCTTTAAACGGCAGTTTTACCATCTTTGCCATTATACAAACTTCACACTCTAATATGGAGTTATCAAATTTAACTTTCTCTAATCTCTTTTCTACTTTTTGTAATTGCTGTTAGCGATTCTCGCTAGGAGAGTTCGCTGGTACCGCTGCGGATGGTAGCAGGGTGAGAGGACGTAGCGACAAGAGGCTCAAGGAAAAGCATGCACGCGTGAGAGGGTGGAATATCACGTGATCGTAACTCGGATTGATTTGAGTAAAATACTGTATCACGATTTTAATAATCACAGTATGCTTACGGTGAGAAGTCTATGAGTATGACGGGAATGAAAAGTCTTTTAATCACTTGCACGGGTCGATATTACTGATCGAGAGCCGGCCTCGTGAATGTAGATGCCCGTGAGCCGTGTCCACGCGGCGCCGGCGTGCGATGCGTGGTGAGTCTGAGCTGCCGGTGATGGTGTACCGTGAGCTGTCCTGGATGATTCGCACTGGTTTGAGATCACTACGTGACCGCACTGAGTCTAGTCTCTGATGAGAAGGTCCACAAGAGCACTCGAAAGTTTTTAGCACTACACGACGCGTGTACTATGTACGGTAGCCATGAGCCAAAAGCGCCGGTAACGCACGTGAAGTCGCACCGTCGCCTCGTGTCGAGATCGAGCATGCGCAAGCAGCGCTCATGCGGCGCCGCACGATCTGACCCGGCTGATGCTGCCATCACGCCGGTGACGAACTGACCGAGATTCAAAAATGAATCTCGAACTATCTAAGGGAATCTTAGATAGTTTAACGACGCATGACCTAATCTAACATGCCATAACATTGCCTCATTTATTTTCTCTAATTTCTTTACTTTTTCCGTTACTGAGCTTTCAAACATTTCTTCTATGTTCTCTATCGTCTGTATATCCTCTAACTTGATGACCTGCTCGAGTTCAGTATTGTTATGTTCTGTATCTTCGCTCACATTCGTGAGCTCTCCTTCATTCTCCCTCCCAATCGCAGAGCCATCATTATCCTTCTTTTCTAATTCTCCCTCCGAAATGGATAATTCATTGTTCTGAATGTTTGCTTGCGATTGTTCAGGAAGCTCACAATGTGAAACTATATCTGCTCTACATCTATACACGACACATTCTACATTGTCATTGTCCTCTACATTATTATTTTTAACTTCAAATTGTATAATCCAATTTGGTTCCTCATAAATTCCCTCAAGAACTATTTTATTTGTCAGTTTATTATAAACTTTTAATAGTTTGTCGTCTAAGTAAATACTGAACCCCGCATCAGCCAGCTTTCTTAAAGATAATAAATTTTCGGATACATCCCTTATTGCAATTACATTTGTTAATTTAATGACTCTCTTTTCTCTTTCATTCATTGTTAACAAAAGAGCTCCTTTACCATCTATTGAAATGTCTGCAAGCTCATTTTTATTCGCGCATTTAATGACTTTATTTTTACATTTTTCAAAGTTTGACAGAACTATATTCTTATTCACTATATGATCCGTCGCACCTGAGTCTGCAATGAAATTTACTACCTCTTTTGAATTATCTCTATCTTCTATTAATTTAATCATGCATAATTTACCTTCTTTTGTTGTTTTTGTCGGTGTAGGTTTCTTAGCTTTTTGTATCTTTGTTATCTTCCCTTTGTTATTCACTCTTTTAGTGCCTCTCTGTTCAAATTTACCCTTTTTCTTTATATTTGTATTAACGGTTTTGTTCAAATACCTTTTTCCTCTAGGTTTGTTCGCCTGGGCTCCGGCATTGGGACAACTGTCTCCCTTGTGGCCTCGCACTTCCTGGCAATAATAGCAAAACCAGGCCCCTGATTCTGCTAGCGGACAGTTCTTTGCCATATGGCCCATTCTATTGCATCTAAAGCATTTGACCTGTCTAATGTCCTCTTCTGCGGTGGCTCTCTGTGCTCTAACTTCCATCTTTTCAGGTTTTTCTCTAGACTCGTTCTTAATCTCTGCCTCTAACTGCATCATAAAAGATTTTATTTCATCTATATTCATTTCTTTGAGATTAGTTTGTCTTCTAATCAGATCTACATGCCTCAGCTCTGGTACATTCAATGACACGGCCTAATAAAATGCAGACCTAATATCTTGTTCTGCGAGAGGTACCGCATCTTCACATGATTCATATTCTCTAATTATTGAATCGAAGCGTTCGCAAAAATCACTTACTTTTTCATCTTTTCTCATTCTAATTTGATAAAGTCTAGATCGTACCGATGCATGTGTAACATTTATTTCGCTCTTTTTATATCCTCTTAATTTCTTTAGAATTTCAGTTGGGTCTTTTTCATGTAAAATCCTTTTATGGCAATTTTCATCTAAATGATTGATTATTATATCTCTAACTAGACTTTTTCTCTTAGCAAGTTTCAATTCGGACAAATTTTCTGGACTTTTAATATTTGAATCTATTATATCTAACAAGTCGTTATTCATTAATTCAGATTTCAAATAATCCATCCAAAGATCAAAGTTGGATTTTTGCGTCAGCTTATATTCTCTTCTAATATGCAGCCGTTGGCTACTTAATTCCAACTCTATAGCGCTTCTAATTGTCTTTAAACTTCTATCTTTTTCGGCTGAACAGATTGTTGTTTCATTCGACTTTTTCTTTTTCAACTCTATATCTAATTCTTTAACCGTTTGTATACCATTTTCTACTGAATTTTGTGTATTTTTATTGTTTACCTCTAAACGTCTAAGTTTTATTTTCTCCTTTTCTAAATTTACAATCGAAACTTCTACCATATTTTCCATCATCGAGTTGGCCTTTATCATAACTTTTTCCAGTGTCTTCAACGACGCCTCTAGTTTTTGTGTGTGAAAGTGATTTTTCTGATACCGCATCCATTTTCGCCACCAGTTTTTCCTGTTTTTGGTACAGTATCCGACTCCCTATAGGCAATATAGGGCGGTCTTCTTCCCACGCTCTGGTGAGAGTTACATCTTTAATTATTTTAGGCATCTCTTTGCGTTTCGATTTTTCTTCTATTTCTCGATGTTCTTCCTCTGTCTCTTTTTCCTCTATACATATGTGATTTTTAAATTATTATTTTTATTTTCTCCGAATGTACGTGTGCAGTATTCTTCTAGATATCTATATTTCTGAAAAGAAAAAAAAACACTCTCTTACCTCTATCTCTTCTTATTATTTCCTCTCTATCTCTTTCTCTCTCTATCATCGTCACAGCACTGTCCTCGCTGTCATAATCCACCAGTGCATTGACTCTCTTCCTCTAATTCAAAATTCTCAGTCTCTTTTTCCATCTAGATTGGGATTTTAATGTCAGTTGAATATTAGCATTTCTCCTTTGACAGGATACGCCAACTTTCATATTGACCGATAATAATTTACCATTTCTATCACTGAATCTCTTTCAGCGATAAAGTAAAGAGAATTCGAGGCTTATGGGGCCATATAGAACGCACTGCAATTCACAATGCCCCCATAGCGAGAAAAACCACGCGCGTCTGCAGGGATATCCGCACGCGCACACCACTCTCCGTTGCGAACCCCAGCACTGCTGAAAGGATCTATGGGAGCTCGGGTTGATCACGCACGCGCACGGGGCCCGTGCAGATTTACGCGGCCTTCCTTAACAGTAATCAAGCTACACCGCACAGCTAGTCATGCTCGATTACCGACCCGATACATAATAATTTCAACCCACATACGCATACACATACATCTATGTGTATATCGTACTATCGCATCGATGCGATATTGTCAGTCGAAATCGATTATGTGTTGGTGCGCGCCCAGCAACAAGTCCCGCGCGCCAAAACAAAAGACCCTCGCCGTTCACGATCGGACCTGTACATATACGTCGCCGGCCTGTCTCCAAGCGGCATCTTTCCATCTCTTTCTATCGTGTCCATCTTTTTACTTCTTCACTGTTCTTTACTTCTCTATTGCACTTTCCACATTTATTCTCTCGTTATGCTCGTCAGCTACGAGGAATAGTATTTACTTACCCTCTAATCTTCTAGATGCTTCTATCTTTGCCCTTCGCCGGCGTCTCACACACTTCGAACGCACGTGTCTCGTTCCTTGCGCGGTGGAAGCGTGCCCTGGGCCCGTAACCTATTGGCTTATTTCGCTTGGAACACTCGCTAGTGTGTCAGGATGGGCAGGGAATAACGAGACTATGTCTTTCTGCACTCTAATGTTATACATTAGTCTATATCACTTTCACAACCTGCGACACGTCTTAACACGACAACGGTCGAGACAAGGAATGGCTAACACCATGCAGTGCCACGCACACACACGCGGCGCGCCGGTAGCAGCTCTGCTTGACGCGAACTGCCCTCTGAGGGCGGGAGCACATCGCTCGCCCAAAGCCTTTTCCGCAACACTGTTCTTTTCATCGGTGTTTTATTTATTAACTCCATTATTTTTCCAATAAAATCTTTAGTTTGATTTTTTAAGAAATATAACATTTTTTAATCAGAAACTAATACTAAAGCAACTAGATTGTATAAATATCCGTTGTTATATTTGGCGCAATTTGTTGATATCATTACTTTTGTAGAGAAGATAGTTTTGTAGAGAAGATATTTTTGTAGAGAATATACTTTTGCAAAAAAGATAGAGTAACAAAATATATTCGGTTGAATTGTATTTTCATTACACTAGTGCCGAAACTACGGTATAAAGACAAGTTCGGCGACTACACGAATCGCGGTGCAAACGACACGCTGTGAACGTAACACACTCGAGACAGAAAAAATAGTATAGGATAATAGCATCTTATTATTTAAGTTTTCTTTCTAAAATTGCATAGAAATTCTTTTTCCTGAACTCGTATTGAGCATTTCTTCAAATGCTTAAAGTATTACTTATCGAAAGATTTATTCAAATTTTGTTATAATAGTTTCCTGACTAGAGTAGTTAAAACATGCATAATTAGGATGCCGTACGATAAGACAGATGACTACACTCTGATTGACTCTCAACAGCTAGCAGCGATTGAATTGACGTTAGCTGCGGTAAACAATTCATCTTACGTATTATATTCCAAATTTTTAATGTATTTTTCACCGAAAAAATAACTCTATTCTGCTATACTTTTAGCAGTAAACAAAATATTTATGGATCATAGCGATATAAAGGTTGTTTTGACGACTAATCGAAGCAATGTAATGGTAGCTTTGACGACTAGTTGCCAAAACACCCTTTACATCGTCAAAATCTATACTGTTACGTCCTGTGGACTCCACGATTTCTCTCTTTCAACAAAACGTAAGAAACATGTTTTCTTCCCTTGGAAAGTACAATCTTATCAATCAGCGGATATCGACTAGGCAACGCACGAGTCCCTTCCCCATAAAAATTTCATTGCTAGAGTTTCACTTTTCGAAACTCGAAACATAAACAATTACACACCGCGTACGTATTTCATTATTTACTGTCTTTATCATCAGCACTACGTACGTTCACAGGGGAAGTGTTTCTCGAGATGGAGCTTAAGTCTTAAGTTTAGTGCTCTGATTGTTTGGCAGTCGATAGCCATTGAAACGATAAAAAGGGAAGAGATAACAGACAGATGGGATCAGGCCCTTTCAGATGGCAATTTCAAATCCAGATTGCCTAAATATTATGTCGACCAAAAACATGACCCAAGAGTAAACTCAGAATTTTCGGAGAGCCGCTGAAAGAAATGATACCCATAAACAAATATCAAAGGGCGATTACGATTTAATGGTCGGGTCGCCAATAAGAAAGACAACCCCCCGACACCTCCCAATTGTCCACCAATGGAAAACCAAAATCCAAAATCTCCTTCCACGTCCCATGACCAAGATCCACCCCCGAAAAATCGTATATAAACCCGAAGCCTGCTGTCTCAACACACTCTTTTTTTGGCGCCTCCCGAGTATATCAGCGCATCTCTCTGATTCTCCAAGTCTACACTATTCTTTAACATCGGTTATATTCTCAAAATAAAATCTGTGCGCGACCTGACCGACGGATCTGACACCTATCTGAGCCCAGCCGCCTTCGACCAGCTACCTCGAACCACCATCGATCGGAATCAGTAGTAAGTCGCACGTTGTCTTTTATTTTCGTTTTGTTTCGGCTCGACGACCTCTTTTCCCCCAATTAATTTTTATTTTTTATTCCGAGGGACTTTCGCTAGTTCTAACTTCCTCATCCTCTTGCGAACTAACCCCAAATATCCATTCTTCAAAAATTCGTTTTGTGTCCGCGGATTCCGCCTTGGCGTGAATCCGACTCGATTCGAAGACTTCCGCT